CCATCTGTGTGATCATTTGGAGATTGACAGCCTCTAGGCAAAATGAACAAATTTTTAAGAAATTAAAGCATGGGTAATCAAAGCATAAGCCCTAGAATGAAAGGACAGGTCAAAGAAAGAGCCATGTCCAGAAACTGCTCTTAGGGGACTGGAATAACAGTTGTAACCTGCTGGCTCGTAGATCCCCACTACTGATGGAAGTTATCTGTAAGCCTAATATTTCTTTTAAGTCCTTCTAGTCTTAGCTGTAAGGAGACAGGGAGTTTGGTGGTTTGGGCACAATTATAGTTAAAGAATTTAAAGACTCTTGTAGAGCTGATACAGGTTCTATCATATACTTATCTGCTGGGTGTTTAAGTTAAAATGAGACCTACGTTAATCAAAATTAGCCTCTTGCTGTCTATCAGGGTCAGTTAAATCTCAGGCATTACTTTTGGAACCATGTATAGGCCCCCTCAGCTCATCTATTAGTGTCATCCATTAGGATAGGTCATATTCTTGCTTAATCATGTTGCTTTCTGTGAAAGCATGGGAATATTTTTCCTCTGTGTTAATTCTCCTTTGTGACATTGCATCTGATGAGTCCTGTCCTCTGGAGCCCAGCAATCTCCCTACTCAGGAGATTGTGTGACTCACCGAAGTTGTAGGATCCTATAGCAAAAGTTCTCTCAAATCATGGGTCCTCACTGGCATAGGAAGGCCAGAGCCAAAATATTGGCTGTCCTATTAGCCCTGGCACTTTTTTAGTTTTGCTGTCCAAACTTTAGTTGTTGAACACCCGGAAGATCAGTTATATCAGTATTGCAGTGAGACAGTGAGGATAACTATTATAATCTCATCTGAATATCAAGCACTTTGAAATATAATGTGTAGCCAGAGGACTGTTACTTCTTACCAGTCATGGTGGTTTTGATAGTTGAATCTCTGCAGAATGTTTACAGACAATAATTATAAGTTTTACAGATTATAATTGTTTTAGAACAATTATAATTCTACCTGTAGATCAAGGACTACATATAGTCTGTCAGCATAGCAATCATATTATCTTTGAAACATGTGTAAAATGTCTATCTTAATATAGAATGGCCTTTTTAGTCCATCATCTCTGCCTAGTACATTAAAAAGTTCTCACCTAATTTTTTATCCTTTAATGGGATGTCATCTAAGAAGTATACGACACTATTCAGTGCCTAAGTATCTCTAGGTGTAGTGACACACATATAACTCACATAAGTTTTAAAAAATATGTATCATCTGACTAGTGGGTTCATGTATAGGATTTGACCTATACCTCTTATCACAAGTACTGAAGCACAAGAAAAAAAAACAGATATCTGAGTCTTGAAAAAGGTTATAACCATAAACAACTGTAGTTTTGCATTGTAGAAGACTACCCATATACCTGAAAGGAATGAAGACTTCAGTACACCACAAGATTAGCAATAATGAATGTCATAACTATATGGAAGCCTTTGTTAATTTAATTTTGTACCAAGCACATCTTTTAATAAGAAAACATTGTTTTACCCACAGAAGACATAACTTTTTGATGATAACCAATGTAAACATATTATAATACACTAATATAAACATAATAATAGACTTAGCAACATTTATTGGGGTGATTCTCCCATAAGATCATGGAAATTATTGGAGTACCATTAGTGAACAAAGACTGAAATAAAAATGTTTCCAGGTAGTTGCTCCTTTATTCACCAACAAAAGTCTATTTTATAGAGATCCTATTTAGTTATCTAACAAATTTTAGATGATTTATGAGAACTAGATCATAATGACTAACCCATTATTTTGACCAATGAAAGATGTCCAAGTTATTGTATACAGCCAACAATATGTACTATATTTGTAAAACCACTCCCAACATTATTTTAATCAGCTGGCAACCTGAGTGGAAGCATGTTTTCAACTCTAATGACACTTACCTGTAAGCCAACTTAAGTTATAGACAAATTTTTTTTTAAATCCAAAAGGCAAAAAAAAAAAAAAAAAATCAGTGAGTTCAAATGAAACAGCCATAAGTATTGTAACCAGCTACAAATTAAACAGAACTGTACACATAAGACAGTCGTTAATAGACCAGAGTACACTCAGTTGTATTTGATCAAGTTGAATTATAATAAGTCTTTTACAATTTTTAAGATTGTGACTACAAACGGGCATCAGAACTTTTTATGTCAATTAACAGAGATCTCTTGTAATAAGAATCAGAATGAATAAAAACCTTTTGTACCTGTAAAAGCAAAAAGAAGTCCACTTTTTAAAGTGGACTCTAGGTTGACAGTTTATCTGATTGGAGTACCCCACTCTACAGGCTTTTCATTGTCGTTCTGACAGCAACATGTAATTGTTCTCTCTAGAGAGGCAGACTATTAAAAGGAAATTTTAATTATTTCCAGAGGGACGTGGATGGGCTGCCTTTGAATATAGAAAGGGACTAGGTGACGCTCTTTGGAGCTAAGTATGAATTTCAAATAGTGGGAAAAGAAGGCCTGCAAGTTATACCTGTTTTTTGATACTTATTATCATTAAAAACTGTTATTAAACTCATATTTCCTTAGAAATATTTATTCTATCAGTAAATGTATCTGTGTTATAAAATTCAGCTAGTCAGCCCTGTGTTATAAAAACCAGTCAACATCATTTTTGAGGGGAGAAGGAAGAGAAGTTATTCTCCAGTTCTAAGTACTGAAAGGCAGGTAAACTTGAAATAAAACTTTTATGTCTACTTTTGAGACAAAAGCTATGATTGGAAGCTGGGGATTTAGCTCAGCGGCATAAGCACCTGCCTTGCAAGCAGGCAGTCATGAGTTCGATCCCCAGTACCAATAAAAAAATAAAAATTTTAAAAAAGCTATGATTGACTCCAGCTGCATCACTGAGCAAAAATTTAAATCAATAATTAAAGAACCTGAAAGGCTGCTTTTTTTTTAACCTTCTGAAAAAGAGAGAGGAAAGAATAAAAGTTTTAACTGTATAGCTTAGGGCTTACTTTCTAAAAAATGACACTGGATCAAAAAGTTCTAAAATCTCAGCCTGAAAAAGCAATCTATTGTCTCCTGAGACACACGGAGACAGCTAATAGTCCAGAAGAAATCTCAACCCTAGGGCAAAGAGGTCTTTGGGGCATTTTGAATTCTCTGTCTAGTCACCTAGGTAACTACCCTCCACAACGACACTGTCTAGGCTCTAAACGTATTCTGAAAATATGTATTGCCATGTATATGTAATACACTGAAACTCACAGACTAAAGCTGTACCCATTGTTGCTCATTAGAAATCAGTGTTTGATTTAAGTGTAACATTACGTCTTCCCTTCCGGTTCATAGGTCTAAGTAAGTCTTCTGAAGACCTCAATGTATTTATCAGGCGTATCTGAGAACTTTCTTAGATCTTGTTTAACCTGTGTTAGGTCATTAAAAGAAAAGAGCACATGAACATGGGTATGGTTAAATTTGTCACTTACTCCCTGTGACTTACAACACAAGTAAGAATTATCTCTTAATGCAAAGAAAGTCTGAACAAAGAGTAATTTTGACCATTTTTTTCTCTGACTTACAGTACCATCCTAGTTGTGAAATAGCATCATAATCAATACTTCCCTCTGCATTTCATCTTGGCTCTAGAGGATAGGCAGGCTATGCATAGGTACACAAAAATAGTAAACTGCTCTTTTTAATATGTGAGGGTCAAACCTCCACCAGTGCTTATGAATACCTTCCAAAGCAGTAAAAGATTTTGACATTGAGCTCCCCAGCAAAAGAAATGCAAAAAGAAAAAACTGTGTCCCTTTCATTTCTATTTGATTTCTGTACCCTGAAGGTGTTTCCCAAGTTGATTTCACCACAGGGCAAGTGGCTGCCATCTGAAGGGAAGCAAGAAGATAGAATTGGGCCAAACTATCCAACCTTGTGCCAGCATGGCATCCTATCCTCTCAGGGAACTTGTGATCATATCCCTGTAGGTGTTGTTTTCAAAAGCTCAAATTATAGTTGATTTTAGCTATAATAATCAGGTTTAAAGAAGGAAGCACTGCTAACAAACCAATAATCAAGATATCTAAAGCATTTCTTTCCAATTTTTTTAAAGAGAGTGAGGAAATTAGCTCAAAGGGAAAATTAGAGCGCTCTTCAGCTTGTAAAAGAGATTATCTCGTAAAGATAGATAGTCAAGTAACACAAGGCATTTGTGTTACCTACCTAATCCCCTATGCAACTGTCCTTAGCAGCACCTCATGTGCAAGTCCATTTTAAATTTTTTATATCTTTGGAGCTCACAAGTTAAACTACCCACCATTTAGCAACTACAATTCAAATATTAGTAAAGACAGAGTTATCAGTCTTCTATGCATACATAAAAGAAGAGAAAGGCTGACTGAAATCCATTTCTTACTCTTAGTTAGCATAAGCCAGGCACAAATGTAAATCATTCCCCTGACAGCTGCTTTTCTCCATGAAAGGCAGTTTCAAGCTGCCTCAGCCTGATTTCTGGAGGGAGGCGCAATATAACTACAAGGTAGTTCTAAAGTTAACTCCCAGTGATTTGTTAAAAAAAAACAAAAAACAAAAAACCTACAGTTTCTGACTTACTGTGGAAGGAGAAAAGTCTGAACCTGTAGCTCAACTCTCAAAGGAGACTTTAAGAAAGCACATAACAGCATTGGCTCTAGTCACTCTGGGACAGGAGATACCAGAAAATCACTGAAAGAGTTACCTCTCACCTCACTAAGGAATGCAGATAGGGACAAAAGATAAGTGAAGATTTTTCTGCTGGTTACTGGGTTAGGCTGTGAGGGTATCCACCAGAGAGTAACCCTGGCCTTTGATTTTCCATTGGTCCATCAGCCTCCATAAAATAAATAGTTCAAATGCAACATATTCAAAACAGGAGTAAAATGTCCTATTAAACATCATAACCTTCCCATGTTTGCAACTTAAATTTATTATTTTAACAAAACAATGTATATAAAAGACAAACCATAAACAGTTATAAGAAACTGATGAAGATATAGATAAAAATTTTAAACATAAAAAAATTTTGATTACCTCAATGAGTCACAGTCCAGAATCTATGAAACAAACCAGTTATCTCAGTGGGACCTCCAAGTGACACAGGGATGATATGCAACCACCAAATAATCCAAATAATGTAAGGGAAATATACACTGAGTTCGTGTCCTCTAAAATCAAAAAAATGAATTCTAGGAGCAATGGAGATTTAGAGCAGCAAATATTTACTGGGGAAAGAAAGTATATTTATTGGGAGGGAAAAGCTTGTGTCTAAGAAACACAGACAGAGTCCTGACAGAAGGGTTCCCGAGTGGGTTACTGAGGACCTTGCTTCTCAAGGGAGTTTTATAGAGCAAAATTATGAGTTGAGGTAGATCTATGGTGGCAAAAACTATAATCAATTAATAAGATTAATTAAGTATAGTCACTTAAGTAACATTGATCCAATAGGAAATCACAAAATGAGTATGAGGTGGGACAAAACTATGATGAACCAATAAGGTTATGACTATAATCACATCAGTAATATTGATTAAATCAGGATGAAATGGGGAAGCAAGTCTCGTAGCAAATGTCCATGGAAGGAACAGGGACTTTTTCTGGAAGGAGTGATTGATTCAGTGACTCTTCCTGGCCCCCCACCCAAGGTGATCATACCTATTTAGAATATCAATCACTTCTTTCCTCACTAAGGATAAGTATGTTGATGTAGTCATTCTGTCTTTTGTCTTGAGATTTGACCTTTGACAGATGTGTATTTCCCACGGTTTTAATGTATTTTCATCTTCTGTACTGACTCTTGAGAGCCTAACCCTGTTTGACTGCCTGTAACATTTCTACCTAACTTAGCTATCTAGTAGCTAAGCAAGCATAAAGATGGTATGATCTGTCCTAGGCAGGGAAGGACTCAAAACTGCTCATACAAACAGCTCTGAGGTCATGCAGTGGCCAGATCACTTACAACATTAGGTGGGACAACATTAGGATATATCACTTTCCACGACATCCTCTTCCTCCTCCCTGGCCTGGCACCCCAGTCCTCTCCTGTTGCCACATGTCTTAGCTACTTCTCTTGTTACTGAGATACCACACACCCTAAGTTAAAGAAGGGAAGGTTTATTTCACTCACAGTACACAGAGGTTTCAGTACATAATTTACTGGCTCCAAGGCAGGGTGGCTGGGCAAAAAACAGCTCATGGTGTAAAAGACAGCAAAAGCAACAAGGAAGAAAGAGACAGGCCTCTTTCTGTCCCTTCATTGTGTGCAGGCCACCTGCCCTCGGATGGGTGTAGCACTCACACCCAATCCCAGCACTGCACTGTGAATCAATCACACCCTGCAGATTCAGCCACCTCTGAAAAAACCCTATGAAATCCTGAGGCTTTAGAGGGACATCTAGACACAAACCATAACACCACACTCAGCACACTTATGGGCCGCAGTTCCCAACAGGGTGGCAGATTACCATTGTCGGCCTCCATGCCCTGTGCCCTTTTCCTGGCACCATGGCTGGCTGGTGAAGGAAGGAATAAGCACCTAGAGGAGGGGTCTGGATTCTCTAGACTGGGAGCCTTGGCTCTGCAGCAGGCCAGCGTGTGATCCTTTACAAGGCACTTCGCCTCCCTGGGCCTCGGTTTCCTCATATATAAAACAGATGTTGGTTCCAGGCTTGCGGGATCCATAGGGATGGGATAATATCTGTGAAAGAGAGTACATACTACAAAGGGCCATTCAGATGTTAATCATCATTCTATTCTGCCTGCAAAGGAGAGTTCACAAGACATCCACTGTAGTTCTCAAGCCTAGGAGATGGGGCTAGCAGTATTTTGTTTCTGAAGAAAGACTCTTAGGATGTGCTGCATCTCCTTGTCATAGCAGCTGGCTGCCTCACCAAGGCAAGTCCTGTGTTGCTCGCAGGAACTCAGCATCATAGCCCTGGACTTGCCCGTGCCTCTTTTCTGCTCTGGCCCTAGAAGTGCTCAGATTACTCAGGGTCAGCTAGACTGACCCATGTCTCCTGGTCAGCCCAGGGAAGCTTGGTCTCTTCCCAGGGATACTTGGCTGAATTTCTGTGAGAGAATGGGTATCTTGCCTTCATAAAGATTGCAGTGTGAGCATGTTAGCTAACCTTGATTTGACAACCAGTTCCAAGAATCCTCCCAGTCTGATTGGTGCCTGAAGAGGTTCTAGCAGGCCTGATAGAGAAAAAGGAGGTCACATCCATGGTCCTGCAAATAGAAATCATAACATAAATCATACCTAAATGTAGGAGTAGTAACATATAGATGCTTTTAACATTTTTTTGTCCAGTCTGCCACTTTCCCTCAAAATGTGTCATTAAGTGTGCTTCGGGAATGATCTACTCCCTGGGCACAAGGTATCAGTGTAGAAGAACATGTCCCAAGTATATGCCAAGTTATGAGGGCTGGCATATAAACACAATTTAATGCTTGTTGAGCAAATAATGTATGGCAGAGTTTACCTGTGTTAACTCACGTAGTCCTTACAATAACTCTGTCTGGTAAGGATTCATAAGACCACTATTTTACAAACAAGGAAAATGAGTCAAAGACCAGCTAAACTTACACAAGATTATACAGCTAGTAATGATGGAGACAGAGTCAAACCTAAGCAGTCTGGCTCCAGACCCAGTGACCCACAAAATGGGAAATGGTGACCCACATCTGAAGAACTCAGGTCTTTGGCTTGGTTTCCTCTGAAGCTCAGCTTTCTAATGTTACATAATCCATGGTGCACACAATTTGTAGGAAGGCGTGGAGGTATTTGGTAGAGACCGCAACTTCTTATCTTTCTGTCTTTCATCTTGGGTTTTCCCCAGCCTTCTCTCTTCCCACTCTGGCAGGTCATCTGGGATTTTTGAGCCATTCCCATGCACCCTTTCATCTTTCCCAGCCCATAGGCTTGCTGCAGGAAAATGCCTTCTGCCCAAGCAAAATTAGAACAACAGTTTAGGGTAGGTAAAGCTCCAAACAGGTGGGAAAGGCCACTTCCACAGGCTAAATAAGGGTCACTGTTGCTGACACCTGAGTTCACTGCCTACTGCTGATCTTCCCACCTCATCTCTGTGGACACTTTTTTTGGGCCACCCAGGGACAGTGAAATAAAGATAGAAGGAGACAGCTATGGCATAATCGTTACTGGTCCTGCTTATTCTTTTCCTGGCGGGAAGGAAGGCTCTACCTTCTTACCCATACTGAAGTCGATATTTAATCCAGATGTTCTCTAGGAAGGGAGTGCACAGGCTTGCATCAATTTGTATTCCCCACTTCTCTTCCTAGAGAGTTCTTGCCAGCATTTAATAGATCCTTGTGGAATGAACAAATGAAGAAAAATTAAGTTGAGCCAAATCTGAAACACAATAACTTTTACCTTTGAAATTGATTATGCCCCTGAGCAGCACAAATCCATTCATTTAGTTACTAGGTGGACCTGGGCCCACTGGTTCAAAGCCTGCTGTACAGAGTCCCTGAGCTCTGTGCTTACTGTTATCTGCTCTCCATTTCTGTCTCTCATCTGAACATGTGGAAACATGTGTTTTCAATATGCAGAAGACACAAAGCTGAAAGGAATTATCACTGTGAGAGATGAGAGGGCACTATACCTTAGCTAGAAGATTTAATTGAACAATGATAAATGTAAGACTCCCTGACCTGAAATTCTTAGAATGCCAAGGACAGAAAGGGGAGAAGCCGAATAGAGAGGTTCCTGTGAACTGGAGTGAGCTACTTAGTGAGGTGTTAGTGACTAAAAGGCCTCCAGGCCACTTCGATAGAAGTATCGTTTCTGATGGTCTGTGCTAGGTAGACCACAGCAAAAGAATTGGGTTCAGTCCTGAGTTTCTCTTTTGGAGGGATAGTGATAAATTTACCGGAATGGAAGAATCTGATGAAATTGGATGGCACACATTTGAGTACCATTTTAAGGAACATTTTGAAAAGAGAAGACATCAAGGATTCTTGCTTTAGCTATAATACATGAAGCTCTGTGGAAGAAAGCAAGATTTCCTCTGCATTACCCTAGAAGATACACTAACAGTGGATAGAATTTACAAATACAAAAAAATTCTTGAAACCATAGTTCTGCACCAGGAGGAGATAGTTTCACAAAGCAGAAAGTTAGATATTTTGGAAAGGAGCCTGCCTAGAGTAGGAGGGTGGATTAGAAAGACAGAGACTTAGGACAGCCTCTGGTCCTCTGGTCTCTGTGATCTCAGCTGCCACTCCCAGCTGTATGTCCTCTGCACTGTGTCAAGCATGACTTTGAAAGTCCTCCTTCCCCAGTGATACCACTGCATATACCATAGTCCAGTGTGCTTGCCATGACAGCATGGGACGCCATCAACCCACATGCCAATACCCCGCTGCAGGCATGGACCTCAAAAACCTCACAATACGCTCCTCGGTCGGTACAATCATCAACTCAGCAAAATTTCCAGAAGAATGTCCTGAGCCTAGAATTTGAAAGTCTAGTTAGGGCTCTGCTGTCAACTACATTAGGGTCCTTGGTTTTCCCACTTGTGACTTAGGAGGGTTGAGTAATCTCTGATTCACTAATTTACTAACTTATTCATTTAATAAAATGGTTATTATGTACTATCTTCCAGACACTAGAAGGAAATTGGGTCATATGGGCCTCTCCTAAGCCACGAATCTGCCCTCCCCCCATATTTCCTGTCGTGCGAGGTCAGGTGAATGCTTTGCTAAGGTCAAAAACTTAAGAGTCATTTCTTAGATCTACTAAATTATTTTTAAAAGGGAATGAAAGGATCAATTTTAATTCTTAACTATCAAGCACAGTAAGAGAAACAAAGAAGAAAGAGAATAAAAGGCAAAATTTAGCAGTATGCTTCCTAATGGGTAGTACTTCGTGCTTACTAAGGCAAACTTTTGAAAGTTTGCAGGTCTGCGGGTATGTTAGTACACTGACACTGTCAACTGGAGGTTTGTATGAGTACAGAATCCCAGGTGAAAAATAATTCTCAGAATTTTGGAGGAATTGCTCCATTATCTTTATGTTCTAATGTTGCTGTTAAGAGTCATTATGACTTCATTTTTTTCCTTCTCTCCAAAAGCTTTTAGAATGTCACTTTTAATTAAAATGCATCCTGATAATGTACTTCAGAGTAGATCTTTTTTAAAATTCATCGCATCAGCTACATGGACACCGTATCAATTTTGCAGTTCTTGCCCTTCAGTTCCGAGAATTCCTCTTTACAATTTATTCCCTTCCATTTTTCTGTCAAGAACTTGTTAAATTGAGTCTGTAATTTTGTTGTGTTGTGTCTTTTATCTTCCTCCTTCAATGCTCTTGTTCCACCATCTCAAAAATTTCTTTGACATAGTAGGGAAAAAGGAAAACATGCAAGTCTCTTAGTTCATTAACTGTGCTAATATTGCTTGGAGAAATTTTTATGCCCATATCTGGTACCCTGACTGACTACTTTAAAGATAACAGCATGTAATATATTAACTATTATTCTATTATTTTATTATGAAATTTTGTTTTACCTTTTTTCCACAAAATAAAAAATTCTTTGACATTATCTTCCAACCCATCTACAAAACATTTCATTTAAACTGTACTATTTTTTAATTTCTAGGAGCAATTTCTCATCCTGTATTTACTACTATGCAGCTGAAAGGTTTTTGTCCTACCTGCGTTTAGCCTCCTTTGAGTTCCCAGGCCTTCTTGTTTAACCGTTTTGGTCCCTGTTGTAGTTGTGGCTCTGGAAAGTCTAGTGATCCAGTCCCTGAACATTCCTATGTATGAAGGAGGCTCACATGGCTGCCTGGATAGTCTGTGAGAGGCAGGGAGGCAGTTTATTGGCTGCAAAGTCTCACTGTTGTGTGATCTCGAAGCACCATGGAGAGCTTGGATGGGTGGCCCTCCAATGTCAATATTTGAGTATCTGCACATGGTTTGGCTTCTCCAATAAATAATGTTAAATCTGCCTAAATGTTTCCATTTGGCTGCCAGTATTCTGGGAGCTGAGTGGCACAAAAATGGCAGGTATCTCCCCATTCTGTATGTAGGCCTCTATTGAATTCCAACTTTTAGGACAGGTGCGTAAGGTAGAGGACATGGACTTGGGATCTTCATAGAGCCCACTTCATCTTCACATTAGCCTCACTGATACACGTCCTTTCCCCAGCCGTGCACTGCCTGGTGCCTCCACTTCCTCACTGGTCAGAGGGCTGTGGGAGCCAACTGGGAGGAATTTACATCTTCTCTGTTCTAGCAACTCAGATCCCAGTCTTGTGTCTGCTTTCTGTTATTGAAAAAAAAAAAAAGTTGACTTTTCTGTTCCACGGTTTTCTATTTCCTTTGTTACTGGGTGTTTGTATCTGCCCTCACACCTTTTCTCATTTTTGTCAGTTCTAGGCATTATGGGAGAAATGGCCAAGAAGTAGAAAGGCATGGTCATTTTTTTTCAAAGATGATTTATAACTGTGGGACCTGGAAGACACGAGAGGAGAGGGTAGGCATTCAGGGGACACTATTCAAACCCTGTAGCCAGGCTGCTCTGTGACAAGCCAGGCAGTAGTTCATGGAACAGAGTCACATGTGTAATCAGAGGTAGTTACTGGTCACCTGGTACATCCCAGGCCTCACTCTAGCCTCAGGAGACAAGGAAAGAGCAAGACAGGGCCGCTTCTGCACTATACTCAGATGTGGGAAATAGGCAGCCAATAACAAATCAGCAAGACAACGTGTCAGTGATTGAGTCTCAAGAAAATTAAGCAGGGCTGTGCACTAGAGAGTGAATACAGGAGCTACTCCACTCATGGAATGTTAATGCCAGAAGGAGCCCTGAAATGCAAGTTCATCGTCCTACAGATGAGGAAACTCAGCTAAGGAGAATGGAAGGGACTTGCCCAGGGTCTCACCTGAGAAACCCTGTATGCACACCAGAGCTTCCTTCTCCTCACTCCTGCATTCTTCCCACTCCTAATGACCGTGAAGTTTGCACGTAGAGCACCACCAGACCACAACGCTCCTTTAGCGCTATGGGAAACAGCTAAACCAAATAATTCCGTCTGTTGCAGGCAGAAGCTCCAGTCCTCGCTCCAACAAAGATAAAGCACAGTGTAAGCTTTAGACTCTTTAATTAGACCTGGCAGCTCCATGAGCTACCAGCGTGTGTATTGAATAAATCCCAGAGCTCTGCAACAACTTTTCTAAATGCCCAGACATTGCTTTACACATTGGCTTCAAACGTTAGAACTGATTCAAGATAAAGCACAGCTCTAAACTCTTGTAAACAGACCTAATTTTGGAGCAGTCCTTCAAGTTTCCCAGTATTGCAGGAACAGGATGTGATTTGGTAGGGGAGGGATTCTGAAGCTGCCATACGGAGGCCGCACCAGCAGCGGAGGACTTTCTCGGAGCTCCTGCAGTGGTGCTGGAGGAAAATGCAGAGTCACCATCAACTGCCCCTCACACCCCCTCAGCACATTATGCCGCCTTGGAATAGCTGAATTTTTTCTCATTACACTTGTTGATTTTTTCAAAGTTATTATGGGTGATGTTATTGTTGCTTTCATTGTAAAATAACACTTAGGTCAGAAACACTGGGCAATAACTGGAAAAAGAAAGCAGGGAGAAACCATCCAGAGTCTACCTCCCAACAAAAGTAAGGTTAATGTTTTAATGGACACCCTTCCTGTCTGTGTTTTTCCTACTCAGGATGCTGAGTGGGAAAGTGTCCTAGCTCTCTGAATATCAGTCACTGGAAAATCACTAGAGAACACTTGTGTTCTTTTTCCATAACATGAGGAACCTCTTAAGGGTTTTCTAGCTTATATTGTATACACAAGAAGGGTATTCAGTTACTATCGAACTAACAAGCAACCACAGATCTAAATGGGAATCATTATTTACGAAGAATCCAAGTGAGGAAGGTGAAGATGTGGGTAGCGTTGCTGAGGGTGGTGAGGAAGCCTCCTTGTGTGGGGAACAATCTGTGCTGGAAAGAAGGCACTGCGCTCGGAAATAGAGAAGGGAGGAGCTCCTTCAGCCCCTCCGGGAGGCATTGCAGAGGGTAAGAGACCAAGCTAGGGAACAGGCCCCACCGGGAATGGCCAGAAACCACAAAAGAGAGCCTGAAAAAGCAAAGCAAGGACTTAGATGGTGGACTTAGCAGTGGCCCCTTGCAGGAAATCCAAGTAGACAATTAGCATCAAAAAGGTCCAGCAGGCTTTTTAGTAGGGTTCTGGGCAGGAAGGCAGGGAAAATGCCTGAGAAGCTCCCAGAAAGTGGGGTGACTGCTACTCAGGATTGCAAGGCCAGACAGGAACTCAGTCAGT